CCAAACCCTTAAATGAACGTCAGTTCCTCGCCTGAGACTCTTAGTAGCTGGGGCCTCAGTCCCACAGTGTGTCCTCATGGTAGGTTTGCGCTGGATTTTACCGCGACTGGTCCCCTTCATGATCTCCTGGGCCCTTTTTTCAAAGTTGTCACAATTGTCTTAACTCACTGTGGACATTTATTCTTCAATATGACTTTTTTTTTTTTTTTTGCATCCATTTGCCACGTTCTCAAGAATTCTGATGAGGTTTTTTTTTATTGGAACTGAGTTGAACTTCCAGGTTAACTTGGAGAGACTCGAAAGCCTTGCAGGGCCGAGTGACTCTGTGGATGGCCATGTAGCGTGTGTCTGCGTTCACTCGGGTCTTCCTCCCTGGCCTGTTCAGCCAGGGACAGAAGTGGCGTTTGCAAGCTCCAGGAGCATGAACTGGGAGAAGCAGCATGCCTGTCTCTTCCTTCCTCCTTGCTCGCTCTCTTATAAATGTGATTGCTGAACTTGAAGCAGCCGTTTGGGATCACACAGTGACCTTGGGGACAGAGGCTGGTCTAGCGAGCGCCAGGGTTCCTCCCAGTCCCAGAACACCTGCTTCTGAGCTTCTGCGGGGAAGAGAACTAAACCTCCAATTTATTAAAACCGCTGTTAGGTGGGTTGTGCTACCATTCCCAGCGGCCACGTGGTTACGTTCTCCCCCAGTGGTTCTCCAAGGGCGGTTCCCTAGAAGCGTGGCCGCAGCTTCGCCTGGAGATGAGTTAGAGACTCGCAGTCTTGCCCCGCGGGCCTGAGCTGTAACTGCTGGGCGGACCTGCGCTCTGCTCTGCGTAACCGGGGCGACGCTGCGTCTGGGAAGCGCGGCCCCAACAATGTCTCCCTTAGTCGGCACCCACAGCCGGCTCTCTCCACGGGGGCGTCGCCCACGGGCCCCAGGAGGCTGAGCCCGGGGGGTCATCCCCGGCAGGCAGAGGGCTGCCACCCCTGTGCGCTGCGTCAGCGGGGGCGCGGGCAGGAAGGAGAGGGGCCCGCAGCCCACCTAGTCCCGGACCTTGTTACAGGACCGTCTGCGGGTTGCCCAGGGCGCCCCTGCCGTGGAACTGCGGGGTTCGGAGCCCTCCACGCTGGGCTCACAGGTGAGTCGTCCACACTCAGCCCTTCTGGTTGAAGGCGATTAGCTGATTTATTCACGACCCCCCACCTCTCTCCCTCTTACCACGCTACAAGCATTACGAGAATGTTCCGGCCTTCTAGGCACTTCATGGAGAGCTAATTTTACATTTATTGTCAGGAATTCCCTAAGCACGCCTCCTACCAGTTTCTAATTCAAAACCATTTTTGAAAACTTCTTCCTGAAAAGCAGCTCACACAATCTGCTCCTCAGTGTTTAATAATCTGTCAAGACCTCCTCCTCTTTTTCTGTCTTGCCTGACTTATGTGAGAAGGGGCTCACTGGCTCACAAAGCTAAGAAATCCCGGTCGAGCCAGGGACAGATTCAGGCACGGTTGGATCCAGGGGCCCAGCGGGATCATCAGGACTTAGTTGTTGGGAACTGCCCTGCCTGGTTTCAGAAGCTGTAACTTCCATGGCTGAGGCTGAGTGAGAGACCTTGGGACCGTAAGCTACTAAGGAGATGAAACTTATCCCCCGCTGCTTTACTTCACCCTGCTTGAACCCGAGCCTGACCGGTTAGCCAATGACGGGCAAGATTCCTCAAGGGAGGGATGACCTAAGACAGGCACGGTCACGAAGTGTCCCTCAGGGAAGGACTTGGGGGGCTACAGAAAAAGGGGGTGATGGGCCCTTGCCCCTCGGCTTTGACATAGCTCTGAGTCCTCATTCTGTTTGCAAGAAGTCTCCTAATCTTTTAGCTGCCTTACTTCCCCTGCCTGACTTAAGCCTGAAACAATGCCGGAGGGTGGTGCAGCCCTGTGCTGGAAAGGGTGGGTTCCCCAGGGCCATCAGGCCTAAGGAAGCATGCATAAAATCCTATGAAACCTGCTTTGCTAAGACCGCTCTCAATTACATGATGAGGGTCCAAGCAGGGAATGAGTTTGTTTCCTACAGCCCCTGACTCAGAATACGCCCTCGTAGTTCTTTGTACGCTGTCTGTGGTTTGATCCTCACTGCCTGACAAGGCTGATGAGCTTCACCTGCGTTCCTGTGCACCCTGAACCCAGTGAAAGCCCACTGAGGGACAGGCTCCCGGCCCTTCTCCTGTGAGAGCTCGGCCACGTTTCCTCCCCAAGCAGATCATGTCTTCATAGACTTATTCTCATCCACGGCAGCGAGGGGGGCCCTGCGGGCAGAGCCCCCCACACTTAGTTTCTGCCCTTCCGTCTGTGGCCCTGCGTTCCTCTGTGTGGGCCCCATTCTCAGCGAGCTGTTTGTGTGTGGTGTCCCCGGAAGCCCCGGCTCCCTGACCCTGGGAGTCGGCAGCCCTTGCAGCGAGCCGGAGGAAGTCCGTCCGTGCAGTGGGACAGCCCCGAGCTCTGACAAGGCATGAAGCATTGAGCCGTGCTACCGTGCGGACCAGGCCTGCCAGCATCACAGCCAGTACAACTAGACACAAAACCGTTGGACTCCCTTTCTGCAAAAAGTCCACACCGGCTACATCCATGGAGACAGGAGGCAGGCTGGAGGTCGCCAGGGGCTGAAGGCCGGGGTACTGGAGGGAGAGTGACTGCTTCACGGGCTCGGGTTTTCTTTTAGGACAATACAAATATTTTATTTTTATTATATTTTTAAAAATTCCATTTATTTATTTTTAGAGGGAGAGGAAGGAAGGGAGAAAGGGAGGGAAAGAAACATCAATGTATGGTTGCCTCTTGAGCACCCCCTACTGGGGACCTGGCCTGCAACCCAGGCATGTGCCCTGACTGGGAAGAGAACCAGCGGCCCTTTGGTTCACAGGCCAGCGCTCCATCCACTGAGCCACACCAGCCAGGGTGATACAAATATTTTAGAGCTTGATATATAGATGATAGTGGTTGCTTAATGCTATGAACATACTAATTGCCACTGAATTGTTCATCTTCCATTAGTGGTTAACCTTATGTGGTTACTCTAAAAACGGTTGTGTGAATTTCACTTACCTTGTATATATATACCTATATAGGAAGTGTTCTGCGCTGGCTGGTGTAGCTCAGTGGATTGAGCGCGGGCTGCAAACCAACGGGTTGCCAGTTCGATTCCCAGTCAGGGCACGTGCCTAGAGTGCGGGGCCAGGTCCCCAGTGGGGGCCATGTGAGAAGCAAGCACACATGGATGTTTCTGTCTCTCTTATTCCCTTCCCTCTGTCTACAAATAAATAAATAAAATCTTTAAAAAAAAGAAAGAAAGAAAAGGAAGCGTTCTTTCACGCGACGCGCAGTCAGGCGCGGCCCTAAGAGACTGGGAGGCACTCGAGAAAACTGTGTGTGTCACCCTCACAGAGCCTCAGGGCCTCCGGGGGAGGTCACTACACAGCATTCAGGGTCACAGGAGAAGCACCAGGCTTCGGTCAGGCGGCAGGAGACGGCGGGGAGAAAGAGCTTTGGCTGGGCCCTCCACCGGAGTGGGACAGGCGGGGCAGGGCAGGCCGCCAGGTTAGGACGGGCCAGCCGGCGTTGTGTGGGTCCCCAGAGGCCGGTACCTGACCCTGGGATGAGGAAGGCGGGAAAACATTTCCCCCCGGGGTGTGCGGGCCAGCGGGAGGAGGGCGGGCTCCGGATTGGTTGGGCCGCAGATGAACCGAAGGCGTGCTCAGGGCTGCGGGCCTGGCCTGCCCTTAGACCCCTCGAGTCCTGGGAGGGCAAACCAGAACGGGATTTTTTTTTGAAGATGTCAAATGTCATTATATACAGAAAATTAAAAATACATACACGGTAATGCAGAGGTGGGCAAGTGTAAGTTTATAGTTATGCATACACAAAACACAGTTTATTCTTGTATTATTTATTCATTATTTTATTATTATCGCTAACCTACTTTTGCCCACCCCTGTATATTGAGAGAATGGGGTGGGGAAAAGTAGGTTAGCAACAACAATAATAAAGAGAGTAATAAATAATAAAGAGCGAGGACCCAGGCCCCGGGCACACGGCATTGACCCCTGCCCCGCCCCCCCCCCTCCACAGCCTCCGCTGGCCTGGGGCTCGCCCTCCAGTGCCAGGCACAGAAAACGAGATACAATGGCCTCAGGTTTCTGCGAGGACCTGCAAAGCTGGACAGCAGAGTCAGGAGCTGGAGGGCACAGTAGGGGAGGGAAAGCCGTTTTTGTTTTTTGTTTGAATCCTCCCCCGAGGATAAGTTTCTTGATTTTAGAGCAAGGGGAAGTGGGTGGGGGCGGGGGGGGAGAAATTAGAAAGAGAAGGAGAGATTAGAAACATCAATTGATTGTCGCCATACATGCCCTGACCAGGGATCAGACCTGCAACCCAGGTATGCGCCATGACTAAGGGGTCCAGCCTGCAACCTACGGAGCCCCTCCGCCAGGGCGTGCGCTGTTTCACTAAGGTGCCCGGAGGAAGCCTCACAGAGGGGAAGCAGGGGGCAGGGTCCAACCAGATGGAGTGAGCGCTGCCCCTGGGAGAAAACAGTCCCAGTGCGGGGGACGGCAGGCGCCCCGCACTGAGCGGGCGCGCGGGACAGATCCCGCAGGCAGGACCGAGAGGCTGCAGGCTCCTGGAGATCTGAGTGAGGGCGGCTGGGGTTGCTCTGATTTTAAAGGGGAGCCATGGGAGGGAGCCCATGGCGCGCAGGCGCAGAGGTCACCGCGTAAGGAGACCCTGACGAGGAGGAGTGTCTGTGATTGGCTGTCTTGGGAAGTCCCGGCCCCGGGCTCCTTCCCACGGCAGACATTGCCGACCAATCCCCTGCCTGTCCGTCCAGCACCAAGCTGTCAGCCCTGGTCCACACAGGACCCCCGCGGAGCTGACCCGCGAGACGCCCAGTGTCTGCCCTCAGTTTCCCTGCCCCTCCGCTGCTTGTCCGACAGAGACCTGGCGACACGGAGTTGGAGCAGACCTGATCAGTTCTTTATTGGGAAGGGGATGCAGTCTGTAATCCGACAGATCTGTGACCCCAGAAAGATCTCCAGTTCAATTCCTAGCTGGTTTGCTGTGAGCTCGTACCTGCCCCGGAAAACGCCACTGGTATGGCAGCTGTGCCAGCGCCAGTAGCCCTGGATGATGCGCACGGCGTGCAGCAGGCGGCTGTAACGCTGGCGGACGCGCCACATGCGGACCCAGGACTGCAGCCTGACCGCCGCCCACGCTTCCCGCACGCTGGAGTGCAGGGCCGCCCGCCGCCGCCGCTCCAGCAGCGTGACCCGCACCCGCCTCCACCAGCGCTGAATGATGGCCGCTCTGAGCGCCGCGTGCAGCAGCGTCCGGCGCACCAGGGTGCCCCGCCACCAGGCCTGGATCTTTATGGCTTCTTGCTCTTCGTCAGGGGGCTTCCTTCTGGGTGGGGGTGGGGGTGGGGGTCGGGCTGAGGGTGGGGGTGAGGGTGGGGGAGATAGCTAGGAAAAAGAAAGGGCACTCAGGAAAGGTTTCTGGGCCACCTCCGCCCCAGGGTGTGCCAGGAAGGGGTCCTGGCCCCTCCTAGCAGTGGCCCTTAGCAGTTCGGGGACCCTGGGCATGGCACTGCTGGAGCCAGAGAACCGAGAGGCGTCCTGTCTCTCCCACTCTTGGTTAATGGACCCAGGCGTCTCAAGGGCCCTCCGAGTCTCAGGCTCCCGCCTGTAACACGTGGTTACTACCTGCCCGGGTCACCAAGCATGTGAGCCTGGCTGGCCAGTCTGGAGAGAGCGCACCATGGTCTCTGGGTCGGAGGGTTCTCGTGTTCCTCCCGGACCTGACCACCTACCTGGGTGCAGATCGCCATCCTGTGGTGCCCACCCATAGGCAGGAGAGGGGGCACCCTTGGCTCGCCGCTCACGCCTGACTCCAGCTCCCATCCCCAACCCCCTGCCCCTCTCTGTGAAGTCGTGCAGTGTGGGGGTCTCTCTCGTTTACTCCTCACGTGCATTCCTTTCGGTTCTCACCCCTCAGTGGAGCACCCATGCACAGGTGCACGCACTCCCACAGGATTCTCAGCCTGGGGTCCCCTTGACTTGGCAATGCCTCCCGCATCCCAGCCCTCCCCGCCCCACTCTCCAGGTCTGCGTGGTCTGATCCCCACTTGCCGGGGGTTTCTCCTCCCTGCAAGCAACGGTCCGGGGCCCCGTCGCCCACCGCTCTCAGGCCCAGAAGGAGCTAGGAGAGGAGAGCCAGGGGTGAGTCAGGCACTGTTCCTTCCAGCTCTGGGGGTGGGGGGCGGCCCTCGGCCTGACGAGTCTGGGCCAGGTGCGGTTTGTGGTGGTTGCCCCCGAGCAACAGTTCGTAGCACAGCCTTCTGTTCACAGACACGTCCCGGTTCAGATGGCACGTTGCGTGACCGTCCTGCGCTACGGGCCTCAGGGAAGGCGGCCCGTCACTGCTGGGCGAGTGGGGTCAGGACCGGGGCAGGCTGGGGTCGCCTCCACCGCCCGCCCCCCCGTGGGGAGGGCCTCCAGGGACCTACCTCTGGGGGCATGGCTGCAGCGGGAGAGTCTTCCTCTGTCTCTCTCACTGTCACCAAGATGGGTTTTTCATCGTCTTCTACTATGACTTTGTACAACTGGTCTGTCTTCTGTAATCGGAGTTAGAGGGCAAATGCACGCACATGTTGTCCTCTGGGCGCCTGTGCGCCAGGAGCCCCGCTCTCTCCCCCTCCGGCCTCGCCCAGAGCCCCTGGGGGTATCCCAGGGGACGGGGAGGCCGCCTGCCCCCTGCCGGCGCCCAGGGGGACCGGCTGTCCTTACACAGCACTGAGTGCCCATGACTCGGAAGTCGATGGTCCACACCCCCTCATGTCTTCCGCGCCCCAGACCGTCCACACTCAGGAGCTTGGTGGTTCCATCCTGCCCACATCTGACCTCCCCCCGCCAGGGCTCAGGCAGGAAGGGAGGAGGTGGGGACAGCGATGACGTCACAAGGGCGCCTGTGACTCAGGCTCCAGGAGGCCTCCCAGTAGCTGAGTCCCCTGCGGCAAAAATGTGAAACTGCCATAAAATGCCCTCCGCAGAAAGGCCAGGCCCCGGAAACAGCAGCCCGCGGGCACAGACGTGTACAACGCACGTCCTTTCAGCCTGGCTGGTAAGAACATCAGAGTGAGGGTTTAAGCACTGTCAGTAGGGAATTCCTTCACACGGACTTCAAGTAAACAATGGAACCGAATGATTAGAAAGGAGGCGTTTGGAACAAATTAAAAAAAAAGACTTTAATTATTTATGTTGGGGGGAGGGCTGGGAAAGAGAAAGAGAGGGAGAGAAACCTCGATGGGCGAGAGAGGCATCCGCTGGCTGGCTGCCTTTCCCACGCCTCCACGTGGGTGGGGACTGAACCTGCAACCCAGGCATGTGCCCTGCCCGGGTATCGAACCAGCGACCTTTCGCTTTGCGGGGTGATGCCCAATCCACTGAGCCACACCAGCCAGGGCTGGAACCAAATCCTTAAGTCCTTTACAAAAGGAGATTTACAAAAGGCTCAGAAGCCCATGAGAACATGTCCAGCATCATTAGTCATGAGAAAAATGAAAACCAGAAGCACAAGGTCTTATTTCTAAGCACCCTAGCGAATGGCTAACATAAGAAATGCGGACACATGGGCGTGTTGCCAAGGATACACACCCTCCCCCCCACCCCACTGACGGGCCAGTGCGGACAGTGGGGAGCACAGTGTGGAGCAGCAGAAGCGCTTCGGACGAGAGTGGGGCAGTTTCCAGGGCCAGGAGGCACGTCTGCTCCCGGTCACCCAGTGGGTGTGGAAAGCTCTCAGTGTTCACACAAGAAGCGTGGAAACGCGTGTCCACAGAAGGTCTGTGCGCAAGTGCTTGCTCAGAACAACGTCACTCAGACAGGTCAAAGTCGGAAACGACTCGGAGGTTCGCCAGGAGGTTCGCAGACCCAGAAGTGGCGGGGCACTCACGCAACGAAGTAACACATGGTAACCCAAACGGACACGCTACGGATACACGCCATCGCGTGGATGACCCTCAGGCACCTTCCGCTGAATGAAAGACGCCAGATGCAAAGGAGTACTTACAGGATGACTCCACTCAGAGAGAATTCTAGAACAGGCAAAACTAAACTATAGGTAAAGTCATTCCGAATAGAGTTCACATCCCGGGTGGAGGTCCGAGAGGGGTTGTTTGCAAACGGCACAACGAAACAAAGAGAAACGTGGTGTATTTTGTTTTGGGTGGTGGTTAGTGGGGAGTATGGAATTGTGACAACTCGTCAAACTCGGGTATTAAGCAGCACTAAATAAAAGCGCAAAGAAGGTGCCTGTTCTCTATGCACCGACGTGGAAAATGTGAGACAGACGAACTGAAGAACGAGATGGTCCCTATCTAGGCACATATTTATATGTTATAAAGGCATTCTTTTTTTTAAAGATTTTATTTATTTATTTTTAGAGAGGGAAGGGAGGGAGAAAGAGAGAGAGAGAGAGAAACATCAATGTGTGGTTGCTGGGGATCGTGGCCTGCAACCCAGGCATGTGCCCTGGCTGGGAATCGAACCTGCGATGCTTTGATTCACAGCCCGAGCTCAATCCACTGAGCTACGCCAGCCAGGGCTTAAAGGCATTCTTTTTAAAAGGGGGGGTCATCTTACACCATAAAAATGTAACCGTAATTACCTTCGGGGAGGACACTGGAATTAGGGGGGCAGAGTGCACTTCCTGGCCGAAGCCCCTGTGTCTGGCCCATCAGCTGGGCACCCAGGTGGCCTCGCGGGCGTGGAAAGCCCCCAGAACCAGCCAGGGCCCCCAGCTCAGGCTCGGGTGGTTCGAGCGCTCTCCTGTTTCCCTGAGCGCCTCAAGGTCACAGTCAGGAGACAGGTGAGGAGCGGCCCCTGGGCAAGCAGGGCCCCCCACCCTCTGCCTGCTCCTGGCCCCTGAAGGTCAGTGCTGAGCGGAAAGGCCCCTTCTCTCAGGGTCTCAGCCCCAGGGGTCACCGAGGAGCACATCCGGTATGGAGGGTGGGGACAGGGGAGGCCAGTGCGGGGTTACGGGGGATGTAGAGAAGAGGAGGAGCTGGCTAAGGCTGTGGGGGTGTCAGTGTGAAGCTGATGGGAGGGGGGCATGGCCGCAGGGCCTGGTCCTGGGTCCCAAGCAGCACTAAGCTGAGAGTTCCTGTTCACAGGTTCACGCTCTCATCCAGCGATCACTGACCCCTGCTGGGCGCCAGGCGCCACTGCAGGCCTTTGTTAAAGCAAAGAGGGGGGCAACGTCCCCACCCGCTGGGAGGTCACAAACCCACCAAAAAGGTGCTTTCCACGAATTGGGGCAGATGCCCACTGGTGTTCCTGTCAACTGACAAAGGTCTTTGTGGGTCGCACTGTCCAGATCGCACTGCTAAACCTCGACAGTGCAACGCATGGCAAACGGAAAAACAGCATCGGTAAACGGGGGAAAAAAGATTCCTGCGAAAAACCCTGAACTGAAGCAACCAGGAGACCCTGGTGCTGATATACTTCCTGCCTCTAGAGGGAGCTCCTTATCAGTCAAAAAAGGAACACGGAAGAAGCTTTTAGAAAACAGATGTTTTGAAGTGTTTTCTTCTTCATATGGTTTTTGTTGCCCAAAGGAATGTGGTCCACTCATAAAACCTCTTATAGCTGAACACTTAAAACTTTGGAAATGTCATTTTCACATCTATGTATTACTTACTTATTCCAGTTATATTGGTTTTATTTCTTTTTTCTTTTTTCTTTTTATTTATTTATTTATTTATTTATTTATTTTTACTTTTTAAAGTTGTATTGGTTTTAAATCCATTTGTTACAAATATAAAAATGTGCCCTGGCTGGTGTGGCTCAGTGGATTGAGCACTGGCCTGCGAACCAAAGGGTCGCTGGTTTGATTCCCAGTCAGGGCACATGCCTGGGTTGCAGGCCAGGTCCCCAGTGGGGGCCGTGTGAGAGGCAACCACACACTGATGTTTCTGTCCCTCTCTCCTTCCCTTCCCCTCTGTCTAAACATACATAAATAAGATCTTTTCTTTATAAATATAAATGCACCCCCTTCTGACTTGTTTGTCGAATAGCTGTCATTGGGGAATATGAAACAATTTAGCCGGATTCTAATGCAAGCCTTTGCACGGCTGGCGGAGACCGCTGGAAAGCGAGTGCCCTGCATGAGGAGGCGGGGCCAGCACTGCCGACCTCCCTCCCCGATGCAGGTCTTCCTGACGGCCTTCGCCACCTTGGGCAGCCATTCCAGTCAGTAGCAAAGGGAGCGGAGCTTCGGTCCGGACCAGACGGTACTGCGGGACACAGGGTGAAACTGGAACTTCCCTCAAATAAGAAAAGTCAACCACCCAGGCCATAGAAAAAGTGACAGCAGGGAAAAGAGGGTTCTTTTAAAATTTTTTATTTATTTATTTATTTTTAGAGAGGGGGAAGGGTGGAAGATAGAGAGGGAGAGAAACATCAGTGTGTGGCTGCTCTTTGCACGCCCTCTACTGGGGATGTGGCCTGCAACCCAGGCATGTGTCCTGAGTGGGAATCGAACTGGCAACCCTTTGGTTTTGCAGCCCGTGCTCAATCCACTGAGCTACACCAGCCAGGGCGAGGGTTCTGAACATATGCAAAGATGCTCCACTCAGCCGTAAAATAATGAAAGGGACATCGGAGATGACATGTCGCCCGTGTTCAGGGTGAAGGGGAGCAGGCAGTGTCGTGTATTGTCGATCAGAAAACCTCTGAGTAGCAGTTGGACAGTATCCCCCAGAACTAAGAGTGCACGGACCCCTTGGCACAGCAATTCTGTCCCGGGAATTTTTCCTCCCGAAACCTTCCCAAAAGGGAGCGCCCACTGGACACCAACATTGGACCCGCAGGGGATGAGAAAACCGTAGGCCGGGGTGACGAAGGAACCCAGATGTAACAAGTGTTAACAACTGAATTCAATGATGATTTCAAATGACACTTAATAGGAGGGATTTACCGCCCCGCCCTCCCCCCAGGGCAAGACCATGGGTCATTGTTCTTCACGACCAATAGCACAAGCTGATTCGTATTGACTTAATCAGCAAATAAAGGTGTGGGATGAGTGGTTAGCGGCTCCCCAGGTGTTCAGGAAGCCTTGGGGACGAGGAGGCTCAGAAACAGGCAGGGGAAAAGGAACGACACACGCAGGAGCCGAGGAAACCCACTCCACAGACCAGCCCGAGGACGAGCTCACCCCTGGCACCGGGAATGGCTGTCCCGGATCCCATGCCACAGATTAAAACCCCCTAATGGGTACACTGGATTGGCCAGCCCTGGTCACATGTCTGCCCAGCAGCCAGGGAAACTGGCTGCTTTTCAGCTCTATCATTAGACACCAAGGCAGAGAGGTAGGGTAGTCCCCAAACACGGGGAAGGGACTCAGGTGCCAGGTGGTCTGAAATGTGGCCAAGGCCCACCATTGTGAGGTTTCCACAGTGAAAAATGATCTGTTGTTGAAATGCATGATATCACCAGACCAAAGAGGAAAACCGTGGGATCTTCTCTGTAGTTGTAAAAAGAAAAAGATTTAATAAAATTATTTTAAAGAACCACTAGCAACACCCTGGCTGGCGTAGCTCGGTGGATTGAGCACAGGCTGCGAACCAAAGTGTCGCAGGTTCGATTCCCAGTCAGGGCACATGCCTGGGTTGCAGGCCATGACCCCCAGCAACTGCACATTGATATTTCTCTCTCTCTCTTTCTCCCTCCCTTCCCTCTCTAAAAATAAGAATAAAAATAAATATTTTTAAAAGTCAAGTTAAAAAAAAAACCCCCTAGCAAACAACCCAGCTAAAAAAATCACATGTCATCAAGAAAACACAAAACAACAGGGAGCCCTGGCTGGTGAGGCTCTGTGGATTGAGCATCGGGCTGGGAATCAAAGGGTTGCCAGTTCGATTCCTAGTCAGGACATGGGCCTGGGTTGCAGGCCAGGTCCCCAGTAGGGGGCGAGTGAGAGGCAACTACACATTGATGCTTCTCTCCCTCTCTGTCTCCCTCCCTTCCCCTCTCTCTAAAAATAAATAAACAAAATCTTTAAGAAAGAGAGAGATTGCTTTAAAACACACACACACACACACACACACACACACACACACACACACACACACACCAGGGAGATACCTCTCCTCTCCTGTCAGAATGATTAAAATCCAGAAACGCTAACAAAACCGGGAGAACTGCGGGGATGAGGAACAACAGAAACTCTCATTCGCTATTGGCGGGAACACGCCATGGAAGTCAGTTTGGCGGTCTCTTAAAAATGAATGATACCCTTACCCTACCACGCAGCAACCAGGCGCCCCCCCCCCCATTTACCCAAAGGAGCTGAAAACTACGCCCCCACAAAAAAACGCGCGCACGGAGGGTGGGAGCGGCTCGGCCCGCAGCTGCCCCAGCGAGGAAGCAGCCCCGCCGCCCTTCAGCAGGGGATGGGCAGACACTCTGGTGGTGGTGCATCAAACACTGGAACCTTATCCCGTGATGGAAAAAAAAAAACACACAAAAAAACAAAAAAAAAACCCAGCCAGGGGAGAAAACGGCACGACGCGTGTGCAGGGCGACCCTGCACGCCCAGGGCACGCCGAGTCTGCGCCCGGACTAACTCCCCCCGAGGAGGACCTGGGCGCTGCGAGGACGGTGCCGTGGGGAAAGGCCGGGAGGCGGAGACGTGGCCTGCGGGGGAAAGCCACAGCGCGGCCGGCGTGCGGGACAGACGGCGGCCGTCTCAGGAACCTTCCCCCTAAGGCGCGAGAGGTCCCAGCGCCCCATCAGGGACCCCGCGCCTCCGGCCCTGGCTTTGGGAACCACCGGGAGTGCACCCAGAGCCACCAGCGAACTGCTGGGACAGGAAAACCCAAGACCAAAGGGCTCACGCGCGCGTACTCAGCCCAGAAGCCGGTGCAAAAAAACACCCGGCAGAAAGCGCCGGGGTCGTGGGCGAAGGGGCCAGCTTGCAGCTCCAGAAGCACCTGCCGAGGTCTGCAGTCTGAGCGGGGAAGCTCCGCGGGGAAGAGAACTAGAGTGCGCGCGCGCTGGGAAGCAAAGCGTCAACGCTCTGCACTCACTGTTAGTAAAACCGAGTGTGGCGAGGGTGTGGCGGTGGGGAGGAACCACGTGGAGCGGTTCCTCCACCGCGGAACATAGCGCGGGGGTGCCCCGGGAAGTGACACGCAGGGCCACCACGACCCAGCAGTCCCACTGCCCGCTGTACACGCAGCAGCGCGGACACCAGGCGGTCAAACGCCGCTCACACACGCGGATAGCCCCCTCCCGAGTGGTCCCGTCTGCGGACTCCAGCGCGAGGGGCTGGGGGCGGAGGCTGGGCGCCCGGGCGGGCCGACGGTTTCGCCGCCGATGGAGGCCGTAACGGTGCGCGCTCCGCTCGCCAGAGTGGCGGCCGCTAAAGGAAGCACTGGAGTTGCCTCCGCGGGGCTTGCAGCGTGTTGACAATGGGGCCCCGCGTGAGACACCCCCGTGGCCTTGACGGTCAGCGCCCAGCAAAGCCCAGTGGAAAAGTGGGCGGCAGCATGAGTGCTTAAGCCGGGGCCAGTGGGGCCTCGCGAGCCCCAGGGAGCCCGCCCGAGGCACCTGCGCCCGCGCCCGTGCCCGCAGCCGCAGCGCCAGCTCAGATCTGCAGACGCAGCTCCTGGCGGCAGCTGCCCCCTCACAGCTGCTGGGCGCGTCCAGGCTTTGTGCCCTGAAGCTTCCAGACCCCAAAAGGCCTACTTTAAGAAAAAATACAAAATTACAGACACAGAAGCAGGCAAGTGAATATTTAGTGAGAGTGAAGTTACCGCAACAAATGACAAATGTCTACCAGTTGGCAAATAATCAATCATAATGTCCGTATTTGTTAACTGTCCCACCTCTGTAATATTTTACCTGTATTTTTAGCTTAGCATAACCTTTGACTCCCTCTTCCTATGATGGTTTTGAAAATATCATTTTCTTTTTTTAATTGTTTTTATTCTAATGGTTTACTGTTTTTTAATTTTTTAAAAGATTTTATTTATTTATTTTTAGAGAGGGAAGGGAGGGAGAAAAAGAGAGAGAGAAACATCAATGTGCGGTTGCTGGGGGCTGTGGCCTGCAATCTAGGCATGTGCCCAGACTGGGAATCGAACCTGCGACACTTTGGTTCACAGCCCGTCCTCAATCCACTGAGCTGTGCCAGCCAGGGCTGAAAATACCATTTTCTATGAAAACCTGTTTCTCAGGGACACTCGGGTGCACAAAAGGTGGTTTCTTGGGACGACTCACACACGGTCCATATAGTTCTCCTGGCTGGAGCCCTGTGGCCACAGGAATTCTGACAGATCCTATTTCCCAAAATTCACTCCAAAACCAGAAAAAAGTGTGCTGTGTCTATCCTTGTCCCACTGCACCTTGTCCCCCTTTGTCCCATGTCTTGTCAGTATATTCCCAACGAGACAGAACTTCAGTTCCAACCGGGCACCGAAGGGGATGGAACCGCCCACTTGCGGTTTCACACATCTGGTGGCGGGAAGAATCGTCCTCAGACCAGCTTTTGTCTCCATACTTTCCAAGCCGTGTTCCCCCCACCCCCCGCCCCCACCATAAACGTGTGATGCAGGCACTGCAGGGCGTGTCCCTGTGGCCACAGCAGCACCTCTGTCCCCACGACGTGGGTGGATGCACCTCGGGCAGGACCAGCTCTGGACGCCGTTTCCGTCAGGAAGGCCGGTGAGCGTGTATCCACTCCCAGAGGTGCTGTGAGCCACATGAATCTCCCCCAGTTAACTAAGCTCAGTGTGTACCCCCCTCCACTCGGCTGTGCGTGAGTCCCGTCCCCACAGAGGCTGTAGCCACGGCCTAAGCAGAGGGCGCCAGGGGGCCAGGGGGCCAGGGAAGGGGGTGGGGGAGGCCTCGCCCCCTGCAGCTCCGATATCTTGCTTTCACACATGTTACCCAGACGGGCTCCTCCCAGGTAAGCCGGTGGATTCCACGCGGGCTGTGCGTGTTCCCAAAGTGTAAGCCCTTACTCGGGGGAGAGCTGCGTGCACCCCTCTTCGCGGCCGCGGGCGGGAACACTGTGTCTGCTGACCAGCAGATGGGGGAAGAGAAGGTGGAGGAAGAGCAGGGCTGCACGTACTAGCTGGGTCTGAAGGCAAGAGAGGACGTAGGGTCCCCCCACTGGTGGGAACGCATCAATAAGGCTGACTGGTCAGTGGGTGAGGGGACAGGGCAGGGGAGCAGAGGCAGGTGTGGCTGAAGTGTGGTGGGCCAGCCAGCCCCCGGTCAGGGCAGCCGGCACACAGGTGGGCGGAGCCAGGGAGGGGGCAACTAACAGTTGAGGGCGGGGCCGAAGGCGGGGGTGACCCCACGGACACCGGAGGAGCACACTCGGAAGACCAGGGCCATGGACACACAGAGGGTGAGCCAGGCCAGCCCCGGGGGCGGCTGCCCGGAGCACGACCAGCAGTGTCTGAAGGTGAGTGGAGGAGCGAAAATAAGACGGGTGGGACCTGGAACACGGAGGGCGGGGCCGCCCAGGCCAGGCCTCCCCTCTCCTGCCCTCACCGGAGGTCTCCGTGTCCTTCCTCCCCGGACCAGCTGGAGGAGGCGGCCGTGCGGATCCAGGCATGGTGGCGCGGCAGCGAGGTGCGCCGGACGCTGCTGCACGAGGCGCTCCGGGCCTGGGCCATCCAGTGCTGGTGGCGGCAGGTGCAGGCCAAGATGCTGGAGCAGCGGCGGCGCCTGGCGCTGAGGCTCTACACCTGCCAGGAGTGGGCGGTGGTGAAGGTGCAGGCCCAGGTGCGCATGTGGCAGGCCCGCCGGCGCTTCCTGCAGGCCCGCCAGGCGGCCCGCGTCATCCAGTCGCACTGGCGCTGGTACGCCAGCCAGACCCGGGGCCTGATCCAGGGCTGCTATGCGGTCAAGGCCCGGCGGCTGGAGCTGGACATCGAAATCCTCATGGCCTAGGGCGCCGGCAGAGCCGAGGAGCCTGGACCTCTCTTCCAATAAAGATGCTGACCGACCGCAGTCTTGCCCTTTGGGAATCAGACCCACAGAAGAGGGTCTGGCCGCCGACCTTCCCGCTTTCCGCCCCCAAAAATGGTTCCCTGGCGTGCTCTGCAACCCGGCTCGGAACGATCCACTCCAATGCAAACCCGACTGATATTGCGGTGAAAGGAGACCTCCAGGGCCCAGGCCAGCCCCTGACACCTCGGCTGGCCTGATCCCAGCTCCCTCCACCCGTGCGGGCAGCCCCTGCCCGGGCATCCCCTCTCCGGGAAAGACACCGAGGGTCTGGCTGCAGCCAGAGCCAGGTAGCAGGCCAGGAGGCCACAGGCCTGTGCTTGGCAGGGCCCTCGGGCCAGCGCAGCGCTTGGCCGGCAGTCAGGAGGAGGGGCGCCCCAGCTGAGTCCCAGCAGCACAGGCCTTCTCCCTCACTGGGGGGCAGCCAGCCCCCCGGCCCCCTGCCCCACCGCCCAGGAGGGCCAGGGCAGCTCAGGTGCCTGCAGCTCCCCTCCCGAGGGGCTGAGAGATGAGGCTTCCCTCCCCTGTGCTGGCCACTGCCCGGGAGAACCAAGCATGGGGGACGCTGAGAAAGGGGGGCTCACAAGCAGAGGAGAACTGGGGAGGTGGCGGGGGAGAGCTGTCCCTCTGCCATTGGGAGTCACTGGTTTGGGGGTAGAGCCCCTGAATCCGACCTCGTCCTCAGAGCTGCTGTGCGGGCTCCCCAAGATGGCCTCCCCTTCCCCTGACATGCCCTCCACTGGCCTGAGGGGTGCTGGGGGCCTCTCTCTGCCCAGCCTCCTGCTGTCTCTTCATCCATGGCTCAGCCGTCTCTATGTCTGACCTGTCACAGTCCGTGTTTTGTCATCCATGCCCAAGGTCCCTCGCTCTTGGCCTGTGTCCCCAGGGAGATGTTTGTTCAGAGACAAACACAGAGATGTTTGTCTCTGAACCCCAGGAGTCTGAGGTCCGTGACCCTCCCGGGGTTTGCGGTGGCCGACCTCACACAGCGGGTGGGGGTGGGGCGGTGCGCTGGGTCAGGCCTTCCCTCGCCCAGGCTGGGGTGCATGTGTCTTCATGCATGTGTGCACGAGCAAACATGTGTGTGTTGTAGAAGTGCGTACTCACACACATGCACGTGCAAATGTGTGTGCATATGTGTTGTGTGCGTGTGCATGTTTAGGGTTCAGGGGGATTGTCTCCGGAGCAGCTGTGGCAGGTGTGGATTCAGGGCTCAGCCCGACACCCACCACCTCCAGCGGCTGCAGGTGGAGGGATGCAGCCAGGTACCTCGTTCCTCCAAGGGACCCCTTCCGGGCTTCAGACGCAGCTCTCTGCCCCCCTCCGCGCAGCAGTGAGCGCCAGGAGACTGGCCAGGTCTGTGTGCGGAGCAGGGCAGGGAGTCTGCAGGGCTGGCCCTGTAGGCCCCACCCTGTGCTGCCCTGAAGGTGGTTTAAAACCTGGGCCGGCCGGCGTTCGAGTCCCTGACTCTCAGCCTACATGGGACGTTGGAACACCCGGGGTGCAGACAGCGCCCGTGACTGGGCCTGGCCGGAGGTTCTGCTGTAATCGGCCCTGGGCAGAGGCCTGGGCTCCGGGGCTCCGTACCCTGTCGGGCTGTGGAAAGCACTGAGCTCAACCCTTCCCAGCCCGGGGCCCAGCCCCCTCTGCTCGGGTGGTCCCCGCTGGTGACAGGGACGCAAACCAGGACCAGCCTGGGCAGACCGGACGTCCTGCCAGCGATGGGTAAGCCTCAGGCTCAGAGGATGGCAAAGGGTGGGGGTGGGGACACGGCAGGGAGAGACAGTTTCAGCCACACAGGCCCCGTGGAACTCAGGACGGAGAAGCCGAAGTAGAAGGACTGGGGGTGACCCCCCCGCCCCAAACACACTGGAGAGAGAACGAACACTAACAAAGTGCGTTACTGTTGCAGACCAGGACGTGTGTGACCGCTCCCCAGTGCAGGGCTGCCGGTGCGAGGCTCTGGCTTCTCCACCAGGGTGTGGCCCACAGCGCCCCTGCCGGTGGCAGAGCGCATAGCAGGGCAAGACGGCAGGGTGAGTTTCAGAGCTGGTGACTCAGCCTCGCACGCAGGACCACAGGAGGCTGTCCCGGCCTGGCCTCGACCTCATTTCTCAGGGAGAGAGGACCCAGAACAGGGAGCCCAGGCCCCTCGGAGCCCAGATCCCTGTGGGAGGACAGCTCACGGGCCAGGGGCAGCCCCCACCAGCACAGAGAGCCCCCCCCGCCCCCCCCCCCCGGGGCGCCTGGGGCTGCATGCCGGGCTCCTGTGGTTGGGTACAGCGCTTGAACAACAGGCTGGGCAGCCCACCGTGCCCAGGACTGAGGGCTTGGATCGGTCGGTCACCCTCTTTCCGTCCACGGGCAAGGGTGTCGGGCAGGTTTCCCTGGGAGGGAAGGAATGTCGACCTCTAAATGTCACCATCTCTTCCCCTCCTGGGGCGGGGCTCTGGCGGGGCAGGGGAGACTATATTTTTGGTCAAGCAATGTGTGTGAAGTTCAAGAATTTCTTCAGTCTCATCAGGTTCCTTTTCTTCAATTAGAATCAAGTAAAATTAAATCGTCTCCACTAAAAAAAAAATTAGACATATGGCATGATCTCATTTTAATGAAAGGATTTCCATCTCTCCCTCTGTCTGCAAAAATGCACAGGAGTCTGTCTAGGACGCTGCACCAGAGATGGTAATGATCTTGAGCGCTGAATGATGAAACCGAGGTGATATTTTAATTTCCTTGTGGTACTTGGCAGGTGATACTTTTATTTTCTTGTGTACTTTGCTGTCGTGTGCACACTGTGTATAAGGGGCATACTGTTTTTACAGAAAGAATAATTTTTCCTACCCCCCCCCAAAAAAAAAACTAACCCTGACCTTGAGGTGAGAACCCTGGGGTCCGAAGCTGCACTTTCTTCCTCCGTTCCTCTCCCCCCTTTACACCCCCCCAAGAGTTTGCTTCTCTCCCCCCCTTGCCCTTGCTCTCCCCAGACCCACCCCTCCTGGGCCCCCACCTGTCTTTGTGGCATCGAGCCACAGGCCCAGGCAGCAGGGGGTCGGGGTGGGGACATTCTCAGAGGGCTTTGAGACCCTCCATGACCCCTCCTTTCCTCTCAGTTTCCCATGACCCCTGACCGCCCCCCCACACACACACACAAGGAGAGGTGGTGGGAGCGGTGGGGTGGGGGTGGGAGGAATGGACAGAACCCTGCTGTGAAAGCAGCTTCAGCACCAAGCCCTGCCCCCCCCCCAGGGCCTGGGGCCCCTCTGGGTGGTGGCAGAGAGGGAGGAGACGCTTCACCAAATGCCCTTTGTGTCTCATCAGCTGGGCACCATGCTCGTTACCACCTCTTTAAAAACTATTACACCTTAAGGCACATACCCCAAGCCACGTGAAGGAGGGTGGGTTTCCATGTGGCCTGTCCAGGGGCAGGGGCTGGGGCTGGGGTCCCCTGGGGCGCAGCACCGGGTGCCCGGCTGCTGGGGCAGCACCCAGGCCCGCGTCGTTGGGGACCGGAGGCTGGGAACACTGACAGCCCGTAAGGCTGCCAGAATTAGCAAGTGAAAATACAGTGTGCCCACTTCAATCCGAATGTCAGATAAGCAACAAAAACATCTCGTCTAAGTATGTCCCAATTAGTGATGGCACACCCTTAGACGAAAAAATCGTTCACTGTTTATGTGACATTCGAATTTAATTGGCGCCCCTGCTCCCCAAGTATTGGCTGGGGAGGAAGGCAATTCCTGTCATTGCCTTTTTTTTTTTTTCAGTTTTGTTTTCATTTTTTTAAATCGTCAACCCAAACGTCCACAGCCTTGCCTGCTTATCACGCTGGTGCGTTCACTTAAAGATAAATGTCCCCGGACTGCCTGTCTCCCAACACTGAAAGGGCCTTGTCCCGCGGAGATAGCACCGTCTCAGGGCTGCCCGGTGCGGGTCCGGGGGCCCCCCAAGACCACAGCAGGGCAGCCGGCCCCCGGCTTAGCCGCGGGGCCGAGACTGTGCCGCTGCGCCCTCTGCCGGTGAGCCCCCGACGGCACAGACGGGCTCCCCGGGCCAGCCTGCCTGCCTGTCTGCCTGCCGCTGGGGTCAGAGTTCACCCAGGGCTCCCGGAAAGGCCCTGTCCCCCACCTCTCGCTGGCCTCCCCCACCGCCCCGCCCCTGCCGGCCCCGCTCCTCTCTCCCCTCCTCACCAGCTCTTCCCGGCTTCGGGCGCGCCCTGTAACCGACCTTCCGCCCCTGCCACCTCTCGGTTTCCTTGCTCCCGACGCTTAGCCTGCCTCTGCGCGGACCCACGGCTGCTGCACGTGCCAGGCCCGCGGGCCGTGGCGAAGCCCGCCATCCCCGGGGTACAGCCAGCTGCCCCTCCAGGTCCCGCCCCGGAAGCCAGGTGAGCTTGTGACCGTCTAACCCTGCCGCCGCCCCCGGGAGTGCCTGGGCTTGTCTGCAGTGGTTCCTTTTAAGAGAGGCTGGGTGTTCGTTTCCCGCCTCCCCCACCGGGCGGGCGGGCCCCACCCCCTGCAGGTCCCAGCGGCGGGTGTGCGGCAGGCACAGAGGAGAGTCCACGAACTGTGGCAACGTGAAGGCTGGGCGGCCCGTGGCTGGGGCGAGGGGCCTCCCGGCATCAAGGGCAGAGAATGGTTTCTTTTTAAAATAAAGACACTTTATTTACAGATAATACAAAATAAACCACAGGACAAACTACTGGGCAGGGGGAGGGAGGGACAGCCCGCGTCATGACCCCCCTCCCCGTCCCAGAATAACATATAAAAAAATTTAAAAGGCCCTAACAGGAGGGAGGGGCAGGGCTGGAAGCACCGTTGCTGGTTGGGGATCGGGGCCTGCAGCCCCCAGCCACCCTGTTCCGAGGCCAGGGGGGCCCTGGCCTGCTCCCTTCCGAGTCCTGGGTCTGGTGAGGAGGGGACGCACTGCAGGGGCCGCGGGTGGCT